AGCAGAAGATTACCAAGCAGCATTCCGACCCTCTGGTTACTCGCTTTGGCCACACTCCAGCCAGCCAGCCTCTGCAGGTTCATGGCTTTCAACCCTGCCGACAGCTGAGGTCTTCACCAAAGCTGTCTGAATTCATGCAGAGAAGTCCCTTGCCAACTATCCTGGGCTCCCCTACAAAGGTATTCTTTGGATTCTGTTTGCAGCTCAACTGGACACGTTATTCTGGAGTAACTTATTGGTTTTGATTTGCCTTGGCTCATTAGTTGTTCGTCAAGGGCTGTGTAGTAGCCTGTGGGCATTGAGTCAGAATCCCATTCCCACTTGGCCTCAATCGTGGGCTGAGCAGCAAGTCCAAGGATCTGAGTGGGAGTGAAAATAAGCTGCCCTGTCCCAATGTATTAGGACTGAGGTGTAGTGGGCTTCTGTATGGGACTGAGTTCCACAGTGTGTCTGGTTTTGTAAGATGAGACTTTGCCTTGCAGGTCTCCCCAGGGCAGTAGCAGTCTCCACAGATTTCAGAGAGGTCAAAGAAACCCTGATTTAGAAAACCCAAAATCAGCTTGATTTGAATATTTACAAATAACTCAGTGTGAAACTGCAACTTTCTCCTTTTTAGGCTATGTCCCCTTTTGAGTTCTCCAAAACACCCAGTTCCCAGAATCTACTCACACTCTTGGCCCATCAAGGAGTTCTGATGGCCCCAACACGGAACAAGACTCTGCCAGAACTGAAGGAAATGGAACATTTTCATTGCCAACAGGCCGGCCTGGGCATGAGGCCGGTGGAAGAGATAAAGGGCAGGTAAGTTTTTGGCATGTTCTGTCTAGGGTTGTGAAGGACTAGTTGACAGTATAGTTGACTAGTCACTTCCTCTCCCCTCCTTTACTGCCTCTATCAGATAGAAGCAGCAAGTGGGGGGGGGGGGGGAGGGGAGGAAAAAAGGAGTGGGGTTAGATCCCAGGCTCCACTTCGGCACTGGTGCTTTGAAAAGCCATGTGCAGCCCAGGACCAGCTGGGGTATTCCCAGGCTGCACACAGTGTTTCAAAGTGGCAGCTCCATGTGGAGCCCGGGATCAGCTGGGGACTTCACAGCTGATCCCAGGCTGCATGTGGTGCTGCTGCTTTGAAATGCTGTGGGGAGCCTGGCATCAGGCTGCACATAGCATTTCAAAGCGACAGTGATGCATGGATCCGTGTAGTGCTGCCGCTTTGAAATGTCGCAGTGGTGTTTCAAAACAGCACCTCATGGAGCCTGAGGACAGCAGGGAGTCTCCAGCTGACCCCGGGCTCCATGCAGTGTTTTCGCCTTTGAAGTTTAGCAACTGTTTTAGGGACTATTGCTACACTTCAAAGGCAGAGTTGCCCTATCGACTAATCGAATAGTTGATGCAAAATGCACTGTTCAATTAGTCAATTACCCGATACCTAACATCCTTAGTGCTGCCATAAAATGGGTCATGTTGTGACACTTGGATGATAAATGTGAGGGAAAAGCAATTCCCCTGCACTTTGACCTAGCACCAGTGTTCCCTGTAAGCTAAGTGCTAGGACAACCACTCAGGAGCAATTCAGAGATTAGTAGAGTGCCCACAACCGGCAGCATGTGTTTTTACTGGTGGTGCACATCCACACATGCCTTGGTGCATATAACGAAGTGTATTCCACCTGTGGTGTAAAAAAATTAGAGACAACACTGCCTAGCACTCACAACTACTGAGCATTTTACATTAGGAGCAAATATTCACAATATGCCTGTATTGCAGGCACATACTATCCTAACTTTTATAGGGTTCCTAAACAGAGGCAGGGCACAATCTGAATTAGTGATTTTGGGTATCCTCGTTTTTGGCTGTATAAAGGGGCCTGATTTTCAATCCGTGTTGAAGACCCACTCTCTGCAATTCAAGCTTTTTTAAGGTATTACAACTTGGGGTGCCTTGAAACTGAAGCAACCCAAATCCTTAGGCCCTCCTGAAAATGTAGATCACAGAGAGAAACAGACCAAGGCTACCCAGCAAATGTATAAAATATATATCAGAGGTGGGATTATGACTGTCAGTTGCACGAACATGCTGAATGCTCCATTTGGAAATTGTTCGTGCAATGAGGAGGGAGCTGCCCCATACAACAAAATACTCTTCTTCCTGAAGGGAGCTTCTTTTAGAATCCAGCCATCTTATCACTGCTGTGTCAGGGCCTAACACTGCTGTGCCATTGTTTATCTTCTCTAATTTTCCTCCTGCAGCATGGCATTCAGAGTGCAAATTCAGCTCTCTCCTGGGTTCATCCTGAATAGCCCCATAGCAAGAGATGCAGTTCTGTCAGTCGAGATGGGAGTTAGAGGAAGAAGTGAGATTGGAGGGGAACTGTTTTTGTGGCAGAGCTCCTTTGGCTAATGCTGACAGGAAGGAGAGATCAGGGAAAAGAAGGTGTTCGTGCAGGTAGCTGAATTGCTATCAGTGTCCTGTCCTGGCAGGAGATCACTCTGTGTTTCTAGCATTGCAGGCCAACAGCTGTTCTGGCATTGAGCCATTTGCCATGTAATGTGCAGAGTGGGTCGGGAGGCAGAATGGCACAGATCACAGAGTGGAAGTTCACTGAAACCTCAGACCTTCCTGAAAATGTACTTGTCTTCCTTCCATTTTCTCTCTAGGTCGCTGAGCACTGGCCGCCTTACTGACCTGCTTCTCAAGGCTGCCTTTGGGGCCCAGATCTCAGAAGCTGGCAGCAATGACAGCCTGAACAATGAGAAACCAATGGAGATCACAGGTATATGGGGAGGCCCACTCAACCTTGGTAGCTTGTACCAAGTTTGCTGGGTTCTAACTTTCCAGGGCTCCATATGAAGGGGATCAGGAGGACATCTGGTCTCCTGGCCTTGGAACAGGAATTGACTGCTGTGTGTGAAATGGGGTGGACAGTACATCTTCCTTTGTAAAGCGTTGCAACCTAGGGATGAAAAGTGCTAGGGAACAGCTTATTACTTATTATCTCTGAGGTTTTCTTATGACTGCATGTATGAATGGTGACAATTGAACAAGCTTTTTTCCAAGTGTAGCTCAAACGTGCCTTCACTGTCATAGTATTCATGTGAGGTAGGGGGACATATTACACTCGAACCTCCATATCTCTGTGGTATGGTCCCTGGCAGAAGGAGAAGAAAATGGCTCTGTGCGCTGCTGTTTTCCTCCCCCATAGCCAAAACGGCAGGGGGTGGTGCCTGGGAGCATCAAGGAGCATAGAGCCACATGTGCCCCTGGGAATGAAGTGTCAGGTAAGCGCCCCATTCTCCTTACTCTTCTTCCCACTCTCCTTGGTCTAAAAAATTCCTTAATCTGACATACCCTGTTTCCCAAGTTTGCCAGATTAAAGAGTTTCAAGAGTATCTCCATTTCCCAGCTGGGGCACTGTGGTGGAGTAGTGGGAGGAGGCCCGTCCTCTGAACAGTTGCTCGGTGGTCAGTTGGCACTTATGCTGTGAAATGCTGCTGGAGCTCTGAGGTTGTGCCCTGTTTTGTAGGCAAGTCAATGCCATTTGCTTTGTCACAGGATGCTTGAAAAGGAGGCCGTAGAATCTGAAGAGTGGGTGGGAGGAGCTGTAGGTTGTGGGGAGAGGAATTCTGCCTGCTGAGTACTAATCCGAGTAAAAGTTGATCCTTTTCACTCTTCTTCTGCAGCTCCCTCTGTAGCTTATGGAGGAAACCTATGCTGTGGGGCTAGGACTGTGGGTTCGGGGAACCCATCTCCAGTGATCTTCACAGTTGGATCCCCTCCCAGTGGGACAACACCACCACAGACCATGAGGACCAGGATGTTTTCAGGTAATGGCCTTTCCCATCTGTTCTGGTGCATCAGTCTGGAAAAGGATGGCAGCAGGCTTTCATGCCACAGACTTTGCTATACGTTGTTGGTGAGTGGGCAGCAGAATGCATTTGTTACTGGCCTGCATTCCATTAATATCATAAGCCTGGAAGTTATTGCAGTAGCCCTTTCCATTGCTTCGAGGGTGCAGGTGGCTGACAAGAGATGCACATATTTCTTACATTACTTCCCTCTCTACTTCCAGAATAGCCTTTTTAGTATTTTCCTATCAAAACAAATGTCCATGTAGGTCAGTGAATCCCTCTAAATAATCCTGTTCAATAGGAAATTCTTAAATTCTTAATCCTTAATGTGGGGAGCTGTTAAGATCATCATTATGTGTCTGTTTTGCTCCATAAAGACGGAGAGCCTAATTAAAGGTCTGTCTTTAATATATGATTAAGGAATTAAAGTGGCCACCCTGTGAACCCTCTGTTGTCTTTCTCCCTCAGGCCCTGTCCTAAATGTGGTTTTTTTGTCATTGAGCTGAAAATTCCCAGGATAGCATGAAAAGTGATTATAGCAACAGGGAAGTATGAAGATGGATCGCTACATATCTTCATGCTGACAGTGTCCTGTAAATTAGTGAGAGACAGCTTAGGCTAGTGAGTGGTCTGCATGAGTTGCCTTCCTTCATCTCAGCGGGCTGCAAGATTGTTGTCTCCCAGGATAGGGTAGTTTTGCTAACTGCACTTGCACAGTAGAATTTGTAGGGTGTGCCAGTCAAACCATAGCAGCACTTTGATTGGATGCAGAGGGGGCACATGGCTCTCACTATGTTGTGTGCAGTCAGCAAGCACTTCATTTCATATGCCCTTGCTTTACATGCATGTCATGTTTGTAGTACTGATAAGAAAAAAACTACATGGATGAAAGCCAGCAGAATATAGCAACCCTGTGCACAGTCAGTGGTAAACAAAATGTCTTGTGGACAACATGTAGAATTCCAGTGGGCTGCTTGCAACCCTTCTTATATCTCATACATAGTCTTCATTACCCATTCTCTTCTGTGTTCTCTAGAAAATATGCTAAGTCTCCCATAAACTCTTCCAGGGCAAGCCGTGCAGCGTGTATTATGACTGGTTTGCTAAGTGTTGCAACTGGACAAGAGTTGAGCTTAAAGAGTGGTGACTGATCTTTATTAGCTCTATTTAATTAATTGTGTCATGTTCCAGTTCACGTACAGAAATGGGTTATCAGTCATGATTGAGATGGAAAGAGAGGGCTCAGAGGCAGTGTGACACAAGCTGAGGAGGAGGAGACTTCACGTGCTCCCCCAGCCCCCAGGCCAATCAGGGCTTGGGGGCATGGGGAGCACACGAAGTCTCCGCCTGGCCTGTCCCCATCCTGCAAGGAGTGCACAGTGCTTGTAAGTGCCGTACACTCCTTACAGGGCCTGGGCAGGTTGGTAGGAGACTTCATGTACTTCTTCCCACCCCCAAGCCCTGATTGGTCTGGAAGCAGGGGGAATCACAAAGTCTCTTGCTCCCCACCCTCCAGCATGTGGCACTTAGAGTCAATCACCAGGGTTGACTCTAAGCACCGCGCACTTCCCTGTCCTTAGGCCCTGATTGACCTGGGGGCAGGGGAGTGGCAGGACCTCTGCAGGCCAGATAAACCCACTTGGTGGATGGATCCAGCCCATTGAGGCTATTTTACCCACCCCTGATCTATGTATCTCTCTCTCTCTCTCTCAGAACATTTCCCATTGACAGCATATGAGGCAATGGGGCTCATGGTGAATATAGACATTGGAGGGTCCTTTTGCTATTGTACCTCTTTCAGGAGTCTGATTTGTCTCGCATACCTCCAAGTTTCACCTCACTTAAAAACCAATTGTTTATAAAACCATACATAAAAATACAAAAGCGTCATAGCATACAAGTGCCAAAAAGTTGTTCACTTTCTCATTTTTACCATATCATTATAAAATTAATCAACTGAAATATAAATGTTGTACTTATATTTCAGTGTATAGTTTAGAGAGCAATATAAACAGTCATTGTCTGCATGAAATTTCACTTTGTACTGACTTTGCTAGTGCTTTGTATATAGCCTGGTACAAAACTAGGTGACTATCTAGCTGAGAGGATGTACTCCCTGGAGTACCTTTGTGTAACCACAGGGGTATCATATCCCTGGTCTAGTTGTTGGGGCACTAGCCTGGAACTCAAAAGATTTGGTTTCAGTTTCTGGTCCATCCATGATGTGACCTTGGATAAATCAATCTGTTCTGTACCTCACTTCCTCTTCTGTAAAATGGGGATGATATCATGACTGGGGTGGTCTAGTTAACCTACACCGTAATCCCATGATCCAAGTAATCACCCAAACCCTCTCAGTCTGCACCCCATTTTCCCCTTCTTCCAGGTCATAATTTCCTCCCAGACTTTGCACCTCCTCCTAGAGCCCTTCCCCCTGGCCAGAATCCTCTTCTGCATCCATACTCCCTCCCTCCTTCCCTTCCTTCCTTAACTGGGTATGTCATACTCCAATCCCCTGACCCAGGTTACCACCCTCTCCTTCACCCAAACTCCCTCTCAGACCTCACACCATCTCCTGCACACCCTATACCGTGCACACTTCTGCATCCAACTCCATCCCTGGACCTCCTCCACAGAAAAGTGTAGCCCTTGACCATTTTCCAAATCCCCTGTCAGCATTAACCAAAGGAGCTCTGCCACAGAAATGGTTCCCCTCCAGTCTCACTTCTTCCTCTACCCCCAATCTCGACAGACAGAACTGCAACTCTTGCTTCTGGGGATATGTATGGGATATGGAAATAGCCCCCGCCCAAAAAAATTATTACCTAATCCTTATTTAAGCAATGACTGTGCTGCAGTTCTAAGTTGTTGACATGTGTGTTTTCTTCTCAGTGGGGTCTTCAAGCTCTCTGAGTTCAGGAGGCTCATTCAGTGGCAGACACTTCTTAGTAGGAGCCGGTGGGGATACCATGGACGCTCCATCTAGTCTCCTGTGTACTTTTGTGGATCCCATAGCAGCTAATCTGGAAGGGGCAGTTACATTTGAGGCACCAGAGCTGCCTGAAGAGACACTCATGGAGGTGGGTACATCCTGTAGACTTAAGAAAGGAGGGGTGGGGGAAAGTAAGTCACCAAAAAGTCAGTCCAAAAAGCTAATATGCTGCAGCACATGAGGTCAAATCCTCAATTAGTGCCCACTGGCCTTAGTGGGAAAAGGCCAGTTTACTCCAGACCTGCCTCATAATGTTCAATAATTCAGAAATGCTTTCAGCATATTGGTCCTGTTTGTCTGGGAGGGAACAAAGGTACTAGGCCTTGTAGCTGGCTATTGGTGTGACAGAGGGTATAATTTGGTCATTTCTAAAGCTGAAATAGAATGGTGGAAATCACATTCAATATGGCACATTCTTGTTTGACTAGAAATCAGCTGGTTGTGAAGAAATTCTGCACTGTTTCTTTTTAAAAGAAGAAAAATGTGTTACTGATGTCTAGCCAAAATCCAGCCAGCAAGCTATTGAACTGATCCCATTACGATCTTCTGCATGCACTGGGGATTCCATCAGTGATACAATCTCTGATGAAAGGACCTAAAAGAAAATAAATTCAATGCTTGTGTTGATAGCGTGAGAGAGAGAGAGAGAGAGAGAGAGACTAAGCCAACAAAATAGGTTGTTGAACCATGTTTGTCAAGTTGAAAGGCTGCCAGACACCCCCTTTTCCCAAAGTGAATGAAGCTTTAAGCATAGCAAATGCTGCTCCCATGGCCAAAGAGTATTTATTATGTAAGACAGGCCATCCATTTGCAATGATGCTGAAAAGAGAGGGGGAAAAACTCATCTTCATTTGTACTTTTATGGTGGTTCATCTAGGACTATGGAAGTTTCTTTAAAATGAAGCCTTGACTCCAATATGAAAAAAAAAATCCTCTGCATATATGCAGAGACCTGTGCATGTTGGCTTAAGAATTAAGGTTGCATTGCTCCATTTTTTTAAAAAGAATTTACAAAATCAAGTTAGAAAAATAAGACACAAGCTAGAAAAATAAGACACAAGCTAGAAAAATAAGACACAAGCTATCCATGTCGTGTGGGAATTAACTGAACTTCCTGGCACCTTAAAAGAGCCCCAGACTCCTGGGAATATGGAAGTCACTCATGGGTAAACCTGAGCAGAACCATCTTAAAGAAATGTCAGCTCGATCTTGTTAATGCTGTGCAGTTCTGCTTCAGATGTCGGCTCTGAGTCATTTTGGTTTGGACCTCATTTCTGCTGAATGCAGGCTTTAATAATCCAGTCACATGTTGCAAAACCTCCTTGGCACCTAGGTTTTTTGGCTTATTTGTAACCCCTTTTGTGCCCTGCGGATCTCTTCAGAATGCCAACCTGACACATTTTCTACACAAATGCTTTCTGCTGATCTTTTTAAAAAGCACTGAAATGCTGGCATTTTTAAATCTAGAATTTGTCTCAGGTTTTGTTGTAAAAAGTAAGTAGATGCTTTTCTTTGAAAAGTTCCTTGAGGGGAAACAAGACAAATACAAGATTGTATTTGAAAGTTTGATACATCGTACTAAAAAAAAGTACACATTGAGGATTAGGGAGGAGAGGTTCTGAATCATTACTGATAGCAAGACTAGAAATTACTATAGGCTATTTCTTTATGAGTAGTCCTCTAAGTAGGGTGTTTACCTGGATGTTGGGAAACTCAGGTTCAATTCCTGCTCCATGATATGTGACCTTGGGCAAGTCACTTAATTTCTCTATGCCACAGTTCCCATATGTAAATATGAGCTGTTAGCACTGCTCTACTTCACAAGGGTGTAGTGAGGGTAAATGCACTAGAGATTTTAAGGTGCAAGGGATGTATTTCTCCCTTTGATGCCTAGCAATAATTGCCGCTTTGAGAAACTGACTGCCACATTATATAAATAGAAATACAAGGTGGGTGTGGTAATGGTTTTTATGGGACCTTCCCCTAACTTGTCTCTCTAATATCCTGGGACCCATACCACCATGACACTGCATGCATCCATGGAATGGGTGACAAATCTTCTAACTCTTTAGGTCATTTTGATAGAAAAAACAAAAAGAGAGTTCTACAAGTTCTGACAGCTTTTACAGTTGGCACAAAGAGCCAGTAGTTACTGTAGGTCAGTGGTCACCAAGCAGTAGATCAGGATCTACTGGTAGATCTTGGAGCCTCTGACGCGTGATCCTAACTGGTTTGGCCAAGAGGCTATCAGGTGCAGACACTTCAGCTGCCCCTCCCCCCACAGCTGCGCATCTCCAGTCCTTTCCCTTAGAGCTGTCCCCTCAGGAGTCTCCTGTTTGCTGTGCAGGGCAGGGGAGATAGAGGATGGGTGCTGATGTCAAGGTGCCCCCTCTCCCACATTGTATCCTGTCTCCTCAGAGCAGAGAGAGGACACAACCAGGCTTGGAAGGGAGTTTGCTGTCTGCTTTTGGGAGTGGTGCAGGGCCAGGACAGGGGTGAACCTGCTTTAGTCCCACTGCACCTATCACCCACGAGCCACCTGAGGTAAACAGTGCCCAGCTGGAGTACACATCCTGAAACCCTATTCCAGTCAGAAACCCTCCCCTGCACTCCTAACCCTGGGCACTCCTGCGTCCAAATGCCTTCCCAGAGCCTGCACCTAGAACCCCCTGCAACACCCTAAATGCCTCCAGCTCAGAGCCCCTCTCATACTCTAAATCCCTTAATCCAAGGCCAACCCTCTGTCCCAGCCAAGTGAAAGGAAGAGACAATGGAGTGAGCAGAGGCAGGGCCTTAGAGAAGGGGACAAGGAAGGCAGGAGAAGGGTATTTGGGTTTCAGGTAGATCATGGATTGCACTTCAATTCAAAAAGTGATCTCAAGCATAAAAAGGTTGGAGACCACTGCTGTAGGTCCTGTGAGCAGTTAGTCTTCAGGCTACATTGGGTGATATTTATTTCTCCCCTGTAAGTTAGCATGAAGGTTATTCAGTAAAACTCCCAAGACATGTGGAAGTGCCCTATTGCTGTGGTGTTTCTTCCCTCAGTTAAAAGAAGGTGCCTCATAGCTCAAACAGCTGGATTGAGAGCCAGGAGGGCAAAAGCCACAGTTCACTCACAAAGCAGATGCTCGGGCAGAAATGAGAGGTGATATTTATTTCTCCCCTGTAAGTTAGCATGAAGGTTATTCAGTAAAACTCCCAAGACATGTGGAAGTGCCCTATTGCTGTGGTGTTTCTTCCCTCAGTTAAAAGAAGGTGCCTCATAGCTCAAACAGCTGGATTGAGAGCCAGGAGGGCAAAAGCCACAGTTCACTCACAAAGCAGATGCTCGGGCAGAAATGAGACTGCACACTGGTTCCTGTCAGCAAAGCTCACTCATGACCTGAAATGGGAAACAGCTCTCAAGAAGTTGATTCAGTTATGGGGCCCACTGACTGAAGACCTAAGAAGCGGGATGTTGTGTTATATTGACAGCCTGGTTTTAGGCTAGTATTTGTGGGGCTTACGTATATAGGCAGGACCACCAATGGGGTGGAGAAGGCAAACAGGGCGCTTGACCTGGGGCCTAGCAGTTCCAAAGGCTCTGGTACTACCAGCTGCTGCTTCTATGGCAATGGCCACAGCCAGATCCTGAACCTTTTAAATTGCTGTTGGAATGCTGTGCCACCTGCTCTGTTCAGCACAGAGTGTTAGGGTGTGGGGGCCTTGGCCCCACGTCTTCTGCCTTTCTGGGAGCACAGAGCCCCCACACCTTGCCAGGGGGCCCACAGAGTCTGTCAGCTCCCTTGTATATACGAGTTCAAATTAGGGATGTTAAATCAGTTAACCGGTTAAATGATAGCACTTCACTGGTTAACTGTTTTAACCAAAGTCCCACCATCCAGCATGCTGCAACTGTGGAATCCCACTGCCTGGCTCACTGGTCTTGCCATGATGAGGGCTAGCCTGGCAAGGCTGGTCACTGCCAGAGTTAATGGGCAAGGTCTGGTTAATTGGAAAGCATATTCTTACCTGTTAACCAGTTAACATCCCTAGTTCAAGCTGATTACTTCCTCATGTGTCCAGCTGAGCTCTGTCTCACAGCAGAGTAACTCCATTGCTTGCCACAGTGACAGCATAAACCATTAGGTAAACTGCCCTCAGTTTTGATGGATTTCTAAGTAGTCACATAGGCTGTGTCTAGACTGGCAAGTTTTTCCGCAAAATCAACTGATTTTGCAGAAAAACTTGCCAGCTGTCTACACTGGCCGCTTGAATTTCCGGAAAAGCACTGACGATCTCATGTAAGATCCTCAGTGCTTTTCTGGAAATACTATGCTGCTCCCGTTCGGGCAAAAGTCTTTTTCTGACTTTTGCACAAAAGGGCCAGTGTAGACAGCACAGTACTGTTTTCCGCAAAAAAGCCCCGATCGCGAAAACGGCGATTGGGGCTTTTTTGTGGAAAACCACATCTAGATTGGCCACGGACACTTTTCCGCAAAAAGTGCTTTTGCGGAATGCCAATCTAGACGTGCTTTTCCGAAAATGCTTTTAATGGAAAAGTTTTCCGTTAAAAGCATTTTCGGAAAATCATGCCAGTCTAGACGTAGCCTTTGAGAATTCAACTCCTGTTGGAAAGTTAGCCAATTACTGTAAGCCTGGCTCACCATCTTCTCTGGGAACTGCTTGTAAACTGGTGGCCTGAAGCTGTGCTCCTTTAATCTGTGAAGGAAGAGTGATGGTGTCTGGGCTTGGGTGTGAGTTTCATGAGTTTCATGCCTAGACACATTAACTGCTCCTTGTTAGAATTACATCCTCAGCTTCTGCATTCATAACCCAGTGATGCCTCAGTGCGTTGACCCCCCAGCCAATGTGTCCTGCCTCTCTTACATGTTGCATCCTACACATGACCTCTATGCTGGTGTTTCTTCCCCCTGCAGCAAGAGCACACAGACATCTTGCGCAGCCTGCGCTTCACACTTGCCTTCGTCCACTACGTGATGGAAATCGCTGCCCTCAAAGGAAGCACCAGTGAGATGAGCAGTTCAGTGGCCTCCGAGTACCAGCTTCAGGAAAGTGTGGTGGCTGACCAAATCAGCCTTCTCAGCAGGGAATGGAGGTAAGGCCTGGGGACTTGATGTAACAGGATCACACTCACCTTTTACAAGTTCCCCCTTGGCCAAGTGTGTATGCCTGCACTCTTAGGGTATGTCTACACTACCACCCTAGTTCGAACTAGGGTGGTTAATGTAGGCAACCGAAGTTGCAAATGAAGCCCGGGATTTAAATATCCTGGGCTTCATTTGCATCTTGCTGGGCGCCGCCATTTTTAAAGCCCCGGTAGTTCGGACTCCGTGCCCGCGGCTACACGCGGCATGGAGTAAGTAGTTCGGAATAGGCTCTCTAATCCGAACTACCGGTACACCTCGTACCACAAGGAGTAACGGTAGTTCGGATTAGAGAGCCTAATTCGAACTACTTACTCCCTGCCGCGTGTCGGGGCTTTAAAAATGGCGGTGCCCGGCAAGATGCAAATGAAGCCCAGGATATTTAAATCCCGGGCTTCATTTGCAACTGCGGTTGCCTACATTAACCACCCTAGTTCGAACTAGGGTGGTAGTGTAGACATACCCTTAGTGTGTGACTTGGCTGGAGGGCTGAGTGACAGAAGACCCTCTCTAAATGGTTTGCACACCTCAAGCTTCCAAGAAGAACTATCTGGCTGTGGCCTAGCAGCTTTCATTATACTGGCTTGCTGGGCCTTGACTGGCTGCCTCTCACACTGCTGCTCCAGGGAGCTTGGAGGACTTCTCTACTGCTCTTTTCCTGGGGTAGGGTGTGGCAAGGCCACAAGCCTCCACCAAGGTGTTTTGGGCCTAGTCTATCCCATTATAGTTCACTTTATACCAAAGCCACCCTTTGTGCTTCCCTCTGCTAGATGCATAGTGTGTTCATTTGGAAATCACCCTTATTGTAGAGGTTGTGCTATAAATGCACCAACCAGCCCAATGATCTGCTTGTACTGAAATGTGCTTCTTTTCAGCTATGCAGAGCAGTTGGTCCTGTATCTGAAAGTAGCAGAGCTGCTGTCTTCAGGCCTGCAAACAGCCATAGAACAAATCAAGGCAGGCAAGCTGTGCCTCTCCTCCACCGTCAAACAAGGTAAGCGCCCTGTGCACAAGTATAAGGGAGCCGTGTGGAATGCCAGACCTGTGGAGAAGAGTCTGGAATGAGAATGTTGGCACCTCATAGGCCACTGCCCCAAGCATTGCCAGGAGACTTCAGTCCTAAGAGTACCCCATGAGAAGCAGATTGCTAGTGAGTGCTGACCTAATCTAGTGGTGGACAACCTATTGCCCACAGGTTACATACGGTTCATTGAGGTTCCACCTGAGGCCTGTGGACCCCCTGGGTTCTCCCCTTCGCCCTGTGGTGTTCTAGCTTTGAGAGGGAGGAGGAAGAGCAGGGACAGTGGTTCCTCCGAAAGTGCAGGGAAGGAGGGTGTAGGAGTAGTAAGTGCAGGCTCTGGGCTCCAGTGACCTGTTGCATCAAAAGCATGAAGGGCAGGAGGGTTAATGGGGGGCCAACAGGGGAACAAAGGAGCCACAAGTACTGCATCCCACTGAGGTGAAGGAGAGCCACTAATGCATTCCTGGGTGCCAATCCCTGCCCAAGTCTGTATTACTTACTAAGTGCCCCAGAGGACCACAGAGCAGGCTTGCATGAAAAAACAGCTGCCTCCTCTTTGGAGTTCCTGGAAGAACAGCATTTACACATACATGCTCTCTTACATCCACCCACATGAGCCATTGTCACACTCAATAGACAGTTTTGCGGATGCCTGCAGGCAGCCTCCTTCGCACCCCCCTGCCCCTCTCTACTCACCTGTGCTGGCAGTTTCCTTACACATTGCTGCCCTATCCCAGTGTGCGCACACCCCTGCTCTGTTCCAGCTGCCTTCCTTGTCTCTCCCCCACTTTCTACATAGTATTACAGTCAGTTTGCACCCTTTCCCCATGTGGAGCAGAAGGAGCATGTAAATCTCCTGACATGTCTGATGAACATTTCTTGGAGAGCATCTAACCCTGGCTTGACTAGCTGAGGGCAGCAGAGGCATTATGTAGGACTCAAGGCAGAACAGAGGGAAACATCACACCATCAAGCAGGCAGTCTCCAGTGAGCTTTGTGTAATAGAGTGCATGCTGGGCCATGGTGGTGACTAGCAACTTAGAGGCATGCTTCTTTTCAGAAGCAAGAGGAAAGGCACAGTGCATGTGCCAGAATGCTCCCTCTCTGGTTTGCTGACAGCATACAGCATTTAACCTGAATGGGGTAGAGCTTTCCCACGTTGGACACCAGGTATCCTCTTTAGTGTACCTGGTGCACCATTTCTGAAATAGCAGCATAGTGAACTCAGAAAATCCCAGACATGTGGTAAGAAGCAGTAATATTAACCCACTGAATCTCAAAAGTCTTGCCTGCCACTCACCT